CTCTTCCTCGTGGTAATTATTGACCACGCGTTCAGTTTTGTAACTTAATTGTTTCACGTGCGTTTCGTTGATGATGAGGCTGATGAGCCTGTCAGCTGTGCTCTACCCCGGGATGAACTTTGAATGTAAACTTTACTGCCTTTACCACGTGGTCTCGACGATATCACGTGATGCAAATATAAGAAAAAAGTACGTTTTTATCACGGAAAAAATGACAGTATGTTTACGTGAATCACAATTGAGACAGGTTAGCTCAAAGGTAAAGGCAACGGTATATTGGTTCGAACAGTCCTCTTAAATTAATTTAGTTTAAGCCCGATTTATTTGCCTATCATCGATGCGAAATGCCATTTTTTTCAGTTGTGTGTAACACTACGTGCAACTGCATTTTCAAGTCAGTTTTTGAAATTGTGGGCGAACCGAAAACAGAGTCCATTGACCATGTTTGCAAATTGAGCCTACGTAAATAAAATGGATATTTTGTATCCACGACGTAAACTCCTTATATCAAATAAATAAAAAATACACAATATACTCTTGTGCTAGATGTGGACATGTCTCTTTAGGTCCTTTTCGCTTGATCTTTTTAGCGCTTTTTGTCTATCAGCTAACTAATTTATGAATCATTCGTATGAATAAAAATGTTTTGCACGGAACCGTGTATTAAAAAAAATAATTAAATGGCATCGTGAAGATGTCATATTTATTTTTAATCTATTTATTGAATTTTATTTCATATGTGTAAAAACATGGTAATTCATAAATTCAAACGTCCTGTGGCCCTCGTGAGGTAAGTTGAAAATACTTTGAAAATAAAAGATAACAATAAAAATATTTTCAAATTAATGGTGATGACAATTATAACATTTCCAATTTTGATGAAGTTTATGTAGGCTGATTCAAAACGAACACAGACGTTTTGGATTTCTTATTTCTGCGGACAATTATTTCGACAAAAATTAAAGTATTTCGATGTTTTAATGTTAAAGAAACGAACAGTGTTGCGCGCCAGCGATTGCCGAGGTTAATCTATACAGCATGTTTGCAGAAAAAAAAACATATTTTATTAATTTGGCATTCAAATTCAAGACACGCATACTTGCCAAAACGCACGTGCAATGCGTATAATGGTCAAGTGAACTTTTGTTGACCTCAAGAGCCCAGGGTAAAGCACATTCAGCTGTTCATCGCTTCAAATGAGTCGTAGCTTTTTGGTATGATTACGAAATCTGTGCTTGAGTCGAGGGTGTATATAAGCTGTTGGTCTGGGATGTAATCTCCACAAACGCTGAAATCTCAGTTAACAGTTGGTCAAACGCCCGGACAATCATGAAGATCCCAGCACCATTCGCCTGGAGCCCAGAGTTCGCCACTTCTGTGAGTACAACACGTTGTTACGTTAAGCATGTTGTACAGTTTTCACAAATAACGAGACGACTGTACACTTTTGGTTAAAAGCATATGAATTATTTTTGGAAAATAGCCTGATTTTGCTCATTTCAGTGTGGTATTGGCTGTGAGTTCCACAAAAACATTACGTTGTCACGCTTAAACATGGTGTACGGTTTACATAAATAAGAGAGAGACGGTTATAACTCTTACTAAAATATATCTTCAGTTTACCTTCGGTGTGGTATGGTAAAAAAAGCTACGGGATTTTAAACTCTTGCTAAGAAGTTAAGAATGTGTCAAAGATGTCTTAATTTTGCTTACAAAACCATTACTTTACCTACATTTCCCATTGAATATTAAATGATGGATATCATTGTAAATATGGAATAATGCATATCATTGTAACAAAGGAAAGAAATGGTATGACAAAACGGGTTGAAACAAAGTTTTGGATGGATAAGTAACGTAGCATACAGATATGCAGCATAATACTCTGAGGACAATTACGAAAAGATGATCACGTATTATTTGGCACAGCCTTTTATCTCCCCCTCTTGTTGTAAAGTATTTTGATGTTTTAAGCATTTGTTTTCAATCACTCTAAACATTTTTACTTTCTTTTAAATACTTGCAGTATGAGAACATTGACAGTGAGCACAGAACGCTCTTCAATGGTCTGTTTGCTCTCTCCGAGTTCAACACTCAAACGCAACTGAACGCTGCTATTGAGGTTTTCTCACTTCATTTCCATGACGAGCAGGTGAGTTCTTTTTTACTCATATATGTATTCTGTCCAAGTTAATTAAATGCTGTATCAAACATGCTGCATTCATGAGCCTTTTTTTAAATAAATATTAACAAGGTTTACATCATCCACAGCCGTTGAGAAAATAACGTTCACCACCTCTCTTTAGCACCCACTCTCGAAGATTGGGAGGTAGACTGGTAAAAATCACTCGACACAATAAGAACGAAATTCAACTACTTCAGTTACATGTGGCTGTGGTACTGGCATGCTGGAATTTGAAAGCAGCGTGCCATTCATCTTTGCCCCACAATTGTCCGCTTTGGAAAATGCCAAAAGAGACATCACATGGCAGACATATATGTATTCTACTAATGCTAACGTACTTCACTGTATCTTCGAAAGTGCGAAGATCTTCTTTCATAGAGTCACAATATCCTGTCATCATAACTTTTTTCAAAACCATTTCTAGGCCAAAAATATGTTGTTGCTCACAAAACATGTCACGTGCCATGTGAACAAAACATTAGATAAAATCATTTGTAAATGAAACAATCCCAACAGTAAAATCGGCATTTCTTTGTCTCTTATGTTACGATTCTAACAAAGCATTGTAGGTTTACATAAACACACGTTTAGCCTCCTTGAAAATGACTATGACTGATTTATGTACAGGGTCAGATGAAAAGAGCCAAGTTCGCAGGCACCAAGGAGCATACTGATCTCCATAATGGTTTCATGGACACACTGAGGGGTTGGAATGCGCCAGTGTCCCAGAAACAACTCAAGGACGGCATGGCATGGTAAGCTCCATTTACCATCGTATGGTACACTTTTCTGTTTGACACCATTTTGGGAGGTTGGCAACTGGCATTTTTACTAAGAAATTCGCCTATACTAAGCCAACGCGGTGGACAAGGTTAGTTAACCGTTAATTTTGATTAGTCCAAACTGTTGGTAGAAATTTGGGAAAAGAAGCCTACCAATCCCGCAATCACCTTGATGACAAACAGAAAAGTGAAAAGAACACAAATTTGTGTACAAGTGAAAAAAAAAAACAATTAAAAGCGTATTTTCCTCAACCAATTCATTGATTACATATTGGGTTCCTCTTTAATGAGGTAAAGTCAGATAAAACCAGGTAGCGTCCGAGTAAAACTCACTCAGTGTTGTAATAATAATACTAATGCTAATAATAATAATGATAATAATAATAATAATAATACTAATGCTAATAATAATAATAATAATAATAATAATAATAATAATAATGATAATAATAATAATAATCAAAATTTTGTCATTGATGATCAGGACATGTATGTCACATTAATTTCCGTTCAAGGTGGTTACTGTAATTTTTGTATTTAAACTACACAAAAAGTATTCAGTTCTGTTTTTGACCACAAAGAAATAATGTCAACAGAAGAAATAGAGAAATTAATGTCAGCAGATGGGCAGTCATTTTACTTGCACTCACTTGTGTTTTTCTTCCGTAGGCTTTGCAACCACATCCCCGCTGAAGATTTCAAATACAAGGGCAAGTTGTAAAATGGAAAGGACCGACCTCTACGCCATCTATCGGATTGCATTAGTTCTTCTGACGTCATACATGTATTCCCAATGTGCCAATGACATTGTTAATTTATGTCATTACATAATGTATTGAATTTTAAGTGCGTGTGTGTCCGCAAAGTGGTCTACTCTCTTGTCAATTGAATAGAATAAAGACGCAATGCTTTTACCAATGTAGTAATTGCTGTTTTGTTTTTTAGTTATGTTCATGATTTTTGCATTGGTTTTATTCACGTGATTGCTTCGTTGTATGAGGTTGTATAAATATTGTATGTTCAAATTTGCCAAATTTCCCCTCCCGTCACTGAACTTTATCAACCTTCAGTAAGGATTTAAATTGAACAATTCAACGTCACTTTATGTGCCTTATTTTTGGTGGAGGTGTGCCAGGGTCACCACACTCCACCACGTCAAAAGTACTATTATCTGTTATGTTGTAGTAACAATAATGCGCAACCGCGCAAACACACACATATAGGCCTACATACACACACGCACAACTGTTCTCATGCACTCACACGTACACACAAATACAGACGTGGGTGCAAAGCAAATGATACGGAAATGAAAGACGGACGCACATTGAAGCAGATAATGACATACGCACACGCGCGTGCACACCCACGCATTTCCACATGACCACCAGAGGCTCTGTTACACAAACATTCAATGCTAGACTCGCTGATCATGCGCATGTTCGCATAGCACTGACAGACACACGCATGTGCACTGTCACAACAAAGACATGTGTATTGTTTATTGCTTTTACTACACGGGGGTGAGAAATACAACACGTGGTATATGAAAGTAAATTCGGGAAACACCAATATTGCTTTAGATTCGTAGAAATAATAAAGGCCAACTCCAAAACCGGAAACCCCAAAATTGCAAAATAGTTGTACATGACGCACGGAAGAATGAATCACTGCCCTCATATATCTATCATCTAGGTACACGTGGGCTTATACGTGAAGAGTCGCTGTCTCGAAAAATATAATATAACAAGCTTGAATGTGGTACAGAGTGCTCAACAGTCCGGAGCATTTATGCACAATTAAAATAAATAAATAAATAAATAAATAAATAAATAAATAAACAAGAGACATGTAATAATCCCGACTCCGAGTTTCACGGGCATACCCAGAAGGTATGCCCGATCGTCAGGAGGTTTGAAAATGTTTTGTTAGCCGCTTATCTACACGGCGTGACGACACTTGAAACGTCGCACGCCGTGTCAGTTACGTCACCTTATGCCGACACATGGTAATTATTCCATTTCTTTTTAGAGTACCTGGTGTTATCATTATCAACAGTTTTCGTCCAGGCAAAGGTTGCATAGGTGCTGATTTCTCCTTTGTGGCGCTGATTTTTTTATGACGTCCCATCTAATGTCATAATAATTTTCCACTTGGAATGCACTTCGAAAGTTTTTAACATGAGCAAAACATTCGAGCCGCCCACAAGAATGGGTAAAAATATCTGGAATGCACTCGGAATTTTTAGAATGCTCTTAGAATATCCAGGAAGGCACAAAGAATTGTCTTTCCGATGGCATTCTTGCTCATTCTCCCTCTAGTGTGACGGGGGTATAAGGCCGTGAAACTCGGAGTCGGGGTTATTACATGTCTCTTATTTTTTATTATTTAATTATTGATTTTAATTGTGTATATATATATATATATATATATATATATATATATATATATATATATATATATATATATATGGCAACATTGTATTTTGCTTGTTTATTCACAAATAAAAACAATATTGGTCAGATCTTCCGATATTAAAAACGAATTCATCTTGTCATCAAAACGAGGCAGTGATTCTTTGATCAATTATGTTAACGTATCTAGAGTGCATGAAGAAGAGTAAAATTACGCATTTATTGGTTTTCAAAGAAGTTTCTTTTGTCATCTAGTTACTTTAGTTCTTAAAACGGTCGACAACCGTTGACAGATAACAAAACCTTTGGACTGGATTGCATCAAAATCATTTATTGGTTTCAGACAATAAGTAAATATCATAGATATTTGTAGATTTTTCCATCTTTGCGTAACTTCATGCATAAGCCCTTGAAACGGTGTTTAGACGAATGTCTCCAATACGGCGTAAAATGGCAGCAACACAGACCGATAGATGGCGCATTATTCCTATTTGTCCTTTTTACAATTTGCCCTTGTACTTGAAATCCTCATTGGGGATGTGATTAACAAGCCTAAAATATATGAAAAAACCTTGTTTAAATATCAGGAAGGATATATTTACACATTACAATTTAAAAAAGTCATCATTTACGGTTGCAGTACACAGGCGTTGGAATTCTAGCAGGGAGGCTTTGAGACTTGACGCACTCCTTCCCTTTGAAACAGTGTTTTTGTCCGGTCAGAAAACCCTTGGTGTCAGCCCAAAATGTTAAAATAATTGGCACAAAAGCAATTATTCCAATGACGATATGAAATTAATTTCAAACACTTATATATTAATATTTATTCAAAACTGCGTCTTGTGATGTTACATGCAATTTTTTTTCCACTCCAGTAATCTGAGTAAATTAGTCTGATTGGACGAGAAATGTTGAATATGGAACGATCCTTCGTTTCAGTTCGCCAGTATATGACACGGCATACGGCAGGTGCCTACTGAATTGGTAATGTCACCATGGCAACGTTCTGCTTAATATGACAGTTATTGAAACGAGGCTAAAGCGCAAATAATACTTATGTTTACAAGTTAAAACTCAATACTAATTAATTGTTAAACTGTCACATACTATGCGCATAAGGAATGGTTCGCCTACACCAGTTTTTCATGGGCCCATACCATTTTGTATCCTCAAGCATAACCAGTAGATATTGTAGATATTGGCATGATGAGAGAGAGAGAGAGACTTACCACTCCATTCCAGCTCTGATATCTTTCTGGGCAACAGGCGCCTTCCAGTGGCCCATCTTCTCCAAAAACCCTTCGTGAATGGCTTTGTGCTCTTCGTAATGTTCAAAATTAGCTTTCTCCATTTGGCCCTATATAGAAAAAAGTCTTTCGTTTAATGGATTCTTAATGACTAAATAGTTTTTTGTAGGTTTTACTACCTACAACCGCTACTAAATTGCTTTTACTATATATATTACTACTATACCCTCTGCTGCTACTGCTGCTGCTTTTACTAACACTCAAAAAAAAATGGGATAATAATAAATATGATTTTTACAATATTAGTATAAAGGGTAGCTATAAACGGTAGCTATTAATATTAACTTGCCTGTTCGTCACGGAAATGCATCACAAAGACTTCCTTGCAAGCTAACAGCTGGTCGCGAGTGTTGAACTCGGAGAGGGCAAACAGTCCATTGAAGAGGGTTCTGTGCTCCAAGTCGATGTTCTTATACTGAAATAAAAAGTGTTGTAAATAGTAGTGCCGCTATCATTTTGAATTTGTAAGTTATAAAGGAACCGTGTCCGTAACAATTGACAAAATGATAATAAACCCTTCGGATATCACACAGTCTTTTGTCCA